AGGTGCATGTCCACTGCGAGAGTCATGAATTTTTTTAATAATTTATTTGTGTGTTACTGCTGCATATAATTATTTGAACAGCTGCCAATCAGGAACAAATCTGGCCCTCAAAGACCCGTTAGTCCTCCTCTAAAAAGTCCACCTCCACTCCACTGATTATTCTAAATTAGAAGCACCTGTTTGAGGTTGTTAGCTGCATAAAGACACATGTCCACCCCACACAATCAGTAAGACTCCAACTACTAACGTGGCTAAGACCAAAGAGCTGTCCAAAGACACCAGAGATAAAATTGTAGACCTCCACAAGGCTGGAAAGGGCTACAGAGCAATTGACAAGTAGCTTGGTGAAAAAAGATCAACTGTTGGAGCAATTATTAGAAAATGGAAGAAGCTAAACATGACTGTCAGAGTGCATTCACACCAGCCCTGTTTAGTCCGCTTTAATCAAACTAGCTGAGGGAAGGTGGTTGTTTCCAAAAATCTCGTAATACATGGCCCCGGTCATCCTCTCCTTAATACAGTGCAATAGTCCTGTCCCATGTGCAGAAAAACACCCCCAAAGCATGATGCTTCCACCCCCATGCTTCACAGTAGGGATGGTGTTTTTGGATGGTACTCATCATTCTTTGTCCTCCAAACACGTTGAGTGGAATTAAGACCAAAAAGTTTCATTTTGGTCTCATCTGACCACAGAACTTTCTCCCATGACTCCTCTGGATCATCCAAATGGTCGTGGGCAAACTTCAGACGGGCCTGGACGTGTGCCGATTTCAGCAGGGGAACCTTCCGTGCCATGCGTGACTTTAAACTATGACGTCTTAGTGTATTTCCCACAGTAACCATGGAAACAGTGGTGCCAGCTCTCTTCAGGTCGTTGACCAGCTCCTCCCATGTAGTTCTGGGCTGGTTCCTCACCTTTTTAGAATCACTGATATGCCACGACGTGAGATCTTGCATGGAGCTCCAGTCTGAGGAAGACTGAGGTCATTTTCACACCAGATAGTCCGGTAGACTCGGTTCGGTTCGGGACCAATATTCATGACCTTTTGTTTACATTTGAGCTGGTGCGTTTGCATTCACACTGCACTGTGCAGTCGAGTCAACCTGTTGAACCAACCTATTCCCCCCGCTCGCCTGTGGGGGCGCTGCACCAAGAACTACTGAAAGAAACGACACAAAAACCTCTGAAGACACGTCTTCTTCTTCTGTAAATAAAAATAAAAACGAAGTGGTATCAAGTTTTAGCAGTTTTAGGAGTTATATTTTGTCATTTTTCAAAAATGGACTTAGCATGAGCAGAAGATGAGACAGAAGACCATGAAGAATGTTGTTTTTCACACAAGGCAGCTGACGGCTCCATATAAGGTCAGAGAAATGCGTGTTTGTTTGTCCTGCGGAGCGGGGTCCGATCTGTTTACATTCACACTGTACTGAACTGCGCTGGAGTTCTCTTCTACCGGACCGAGACCTAGGTTTTAGCCCGGGCCAGAGTTCGCCTTTTTGTTCCATGACAGAGTTCGATGGCGCGTTCACACCTCCCTAAACGAACTGGACTTTCTAGGAAAACGAGTTGGAGCGTTGAAGATGGGTCGTGGCTGGGTCTTCCAACATGACAATGACCCGAAGCACACAGCCAGGAGAACCAAGGAGTGGCTCCGTAAGAAGCATTTCAAGGTTCTGTAGTGGCCTAGCCAGTCTCCAGACTTAAACCCTATAGACATTCTTTGGAAGGAGCTCAAACTCTGTGTTTTTCAGCAGCAGCCCAGAAACCTGGCTGATCTAGAGAAGATCTGTGTGGAGGAATGGGCCAAAATCTCTGCTGCAGTGTGAGCACACCTGATGAAAAACTACAGGAAATGTTTGATCTCTGTAACTGCAAACGAAGGCTACTGTACCAAATATTAACATTGATGTTCACAGGTGTTCAAATACTTATTTGCAGCAGTAACACACACAAATTATTTTTAAAAAAAAATCATACGTTGTGATTTTCGGATTTTTTAAAATTACATTTTTAGATTGTCTCTCACAGTCTCTCACATGCACCCAAGATGAAAATGTCAGACCCCTCCATGATTTCTAAGTGGGAGAACTTGCAAAGTTGCAGGGTGTTCAAATACTTATTTTCCTCACTGTATATATATTTTCTCTCTCTCTCTCTCTCTCTCTCTCTCTCTCTCTCGACATCGATATCGATATATATATATATATATATATATATATATATATATATATATATAGATATATATTAAAAAAAAAAATTAATCTTTAAATCACTTCTTGGTCTGCTGCCTTCATACATCTCGTCCTACATGTCTCTGCGTGAGTGCAGCTACAGCGTGCGCTCTCAGGACATTATTACCTGCAGTGTTCCCTCAGTGAGGACAGAACTAGGCAAAATGACCTTCTCCTACTCCGCTCCTGTTTCCTGGAATATCTTACAAAAGACCTGAAGCTCTCGACCTTGACCTCTCTAAGTGGCTTTAAGAATCTGTTGGACTCCTGGCAAGCAGACATGTTTCTGTTTTTAGTTTTCTACATTCACCTTATAATCTAGCTGTTTTGCAATTTTTTGCCCTTTTTTTTTTAATTTGTAAAAAAAAAAATCTGTATGCCTCTATGATTGTCTTTT